AAGAGTAAGCAACAGTGCCATAAAAGCCAGAACGTGATGTGTAGACCTTGACTCTGTTCGCCCATTAGTATTACAAATAGGATTTTGCTTTGTCTCCTTTAGTGTCACTATCTCAGTGCTCAGTGCCCAGGGATGCCCTGCTGTGCATTCTTCTCCCTCCCCTCTGAGATAGGATGATGAATGTTATGGCCGACAGCTCATTGTTAGGAGGTATTAAATGTTACAAGTTACACAGTAGTCATCATCAGTGAAACAAGTTCCATCAGCTTATGTGAGCTAGAAGCAGCCTAGCCTAACGCGAGCATCTCTGTGCGATCTGCTCTGGAGAAGAACAGAGTTATTCGGTAGGGAATGCTATGTAGAATCCTGTTTTGTCCCATCATACCATTAGGGTGGGGACTTGTCACTTTGCATTTTAAAAAGAAATCTTAGAATTACTGAAGCACTCCCTTTTGCAATGGGAGAGAAGTGTCAAGGAATGCAAACAGGAAAGACTTGTTGGGATAGCACAACTATCTAGAAATTGGCTGTAAAGCATGAGGTCAGTAGAATAAGTTGGCATTTGGGTCAATGGCAGGCTTACTGTTAGGCACTTCTGCAGTGGCCTGGTAGTGCATCCAAGAGCTGCTCACCTTTCTGTGCTCTGGATGTGTGATAAAAAATCAAGCAAATATACTTGCGACCATTCTCTTCCCTGGTCTTATCCCTTCCTGAATCGTCAGTTTTCTGATAATGATTTATTCATTCGTGTAATCCTCTAATTATTTGGGTGAAACTGGTGGAACTACCTTTTTGTAATATGCGTGCAGGCTGCCTCCCCTTGAAGCAGGCTTTTTGGTTTGGTGGGCCCACGTAAAGTCCGCAGTCTGCCAGGGCCAAATGGAGCATCACTAGGTGAATTTCTAAAGTTACTTCTATGCCTCTTACTGGGCTTCTTGGAGTCCCTTTTAAGGTAAACAGCCTTGCAGAAAGGTCAGTATTGAAACAGCAAAGAAATAATTTTCCATGAAATGAAGTGGAGCTGTAGATGATCATCACTGCGGGAAGGTATGATGCTTGATGGGACGGAAAAAGAAAAAAGCTGGTTCATGAGACTGGTTAGTCCATCTAGGTAGTTAACCTCAAAGGCACACAAATATTATTTGTTGTTATTACAGTTATAAAACTGTAGCTGCTACTTTCATTTTGATGTTGTAATATAACAACAGATGAAGCAAACCCTAAAGGGAGCCGTTGTCTGCTTTATTCGCTTTAGTGGTAGTCATTCTATATGTCGTCTTACAGGGCGAGGGCTCAGTAATCTGTTCTGTTACACCATATGCTAATACAGTGCTGATAAGCAAGTGTGAAAAATGAAAGGGAGGAATACATTAATTGTATTTGTGCAATAAGGTATGCTATCAAAGGTAATTATTTCATGACAGTTTTAGTTATAGCAGTTGTTTTATCATGGAATAAAAGATGGCTTTAGGAGTCTTTTATTGGAAAGACAATTGTATCAAATTAGTACCAAATTAGATTTTTGTCTTTATAAAGGTGAGCAAACCCATGAGCAGTTTTTAAATTGGTGTCTCCTACTCTACAAATGAACAAATCCTGTTTGAGGGTTAAAGAAGCTATTATTCTGTCCTTTATGCTGACAGCTTCATTACTGATTGGCCTACTGTTGGTATTAAAAAAATGTTTGGCTCCTTATGATCTTTGTGCATGCAACTATAATATTAATACAGACCACGAACTGTTCATTAAGAAATGACTTTAAATGAGGTTGATGCTGGTAAATCTGGAGAGATACAGATGTTAAATGCTACCATTCCTTTTCATATACAGCCGTATGGCTAATAATTTCCAAGTGGCTAAAGCTCTTGTTAGCAAGAGTGCTGGTGTGTTAAGAATGGCTCTATAAATAACTTTAAGAACTGAAGTTGAAGGTGCTTCTTTTAAAGACTATTGTTAACTAAACATTATTGCCAAACAGATGGAAAGCATTCACCAGCCTGATGTTTTTAGGTCTAATTATATTATCGCCAGTCCTGTACGGCTCAGTTGAAGAGGTGTATCCAGAGGCCAATTTATAATCATTTAGCCAACACCTGTTTGGGAGATATTGACAGTCAAAGGGCACATTTAAAAAAAAAAATCACATATGTTCTCGTATTTATTGCCTCAATGTGAGCAGTGTCTAGTTACAAACAAACTTGGGAGCAGAAGGAGGAAAGTGACTGTAAACACATAGTTGTTTCTGAACCATTTTTATCTTCTTTTGGCACCTCTTGTAAAGCAGCTTTTATTTTTCTCTTGTTCTTTTGGTTTTCTTTATTGTTTGTTTTGTTGGCGTTTTTTTTAAATTTTAATTTTACACCTTTTGGTTAAGCAAGGATAACAAAACCAGTTTATAGTTGTTATTTATTCAGCTGGTTTCCACTGTTTCTGGAAGTTCTAGGTAAGAGACCTGAAAAGTTGTTTGGCAAACTCGGTGGCCTGGGGACATTTGCCTTTCCTTACCGTACCCTTGACGTGGAAACTGTGTGTCATTCCTTTGTCAAAAAAATCTCAGTAATACCAACTTCTGTTAATATTTTTTTTTTGCTGCAAGATATACAACAGCTTTTAAAATTGGGTGCAACGTTATTAAAAGAGGAGATCTTTGAGATGGAGAGGTGTCTGTCACATTATTCATTTTGGTGAAATTTGGTGAGAGAAGAATGATTAGAAAAGACTCCAATTCTCCTCCTCTTGCTTGAAATGCTTGGGTGCGATGGGGAGAGATGGAGAGCAGTGTCTTGAATGTGGCCATCCCAAAGAGCAAGGGTTGCTTTGGTGCAGCCACTGCTTGGGGGAAACCAGCACAACCCTGCCCTGAGACCTCCCCTCCTGGGCCAGCCGCCTGGGCACTTTGCACGTCTCTGCCTTCCCTCAGTGTGGGCACTGCACGGGACAGTTGCTTCTGCAGTTCCCTTGGCGTGGGGAAAGTCAGTATGTCAACTTGGTAGACTTCACCCTTTCAGAGAAAGCAGGGCATGACTGCATCGCTGCCCCACACAGCAGGGAGGTAAGGGAGGCTGTGTGCTATGTTGTCCTTCTCCTGTCGCCTGAGGGATCCAACACCATGTTACTCCTGACACATCATTCCTCTGCAAGAAGCCCTTTCTGATGTGAGCTGACTTGGTCTTCACTGTACCTTGATTATTGACTTGGAGTTGCTGCATCTTGTCTATTGAACTCAAAGTTTGATAACCCCAGTGCTGGCATTAGCAGCCCTTTAGGTGTTTGATTTTGCAGCCTAAATATTTTGTTATAACTGTATGCGAATATTTATACTGGAAGTTTACGATGTCTATTGTAAATAAACAGTGAGTGCACACTCTTGTTCTTATTCCTAGAGGAGGGTTGGGCAAGTGCTGCTTGTGTGGCGCTCTTGCAGCTGGTGCTTTTCAAGTACATCTGTGTTCTTGGAGTTTGAAAACAATCAATTCCTGAGCAGGGTGATTTGAAGATGGAGTTGTGGAGGGTTCCAGCTCCCTAAAGATGTAGTTCCCAAGTATCTATATGCATAGATATTTTCTGTTTGTTTTGTTTTCAGCACATAAATAAATGGAGCTGGCTAAGGGGCTAGTCATTATTTAGTACTTCTCTCATTGCTGTGCCGTGTTTAAAGTGCTTTCAGTAGAGCTGATGCACTCCTGACAGACACTCTCTGCAGCTGTAGGTGTTCTCTCTGCAGTGAACCCACCCACTCTTTTCTCCCTAAAGAAATCCTCTTTTTTGTTGTTACCTCAATACTAGTTTACAGTAGCACAAAGGGACTTCCTTCCAGCCATTTCTGTTGTGGCTTATGAGTCCTGCAAAACAAAAATGACAGTGGAGGAATGAGAGATCAGTGACTGTACAGTTGACAAAACATTTTTTTGTGGCCTGGGCAAGTGTGTGGCGAGCTTTTAGTTTAGCTTCCTGGAAAGCAAGTATGTAGCCACCCTGCAATAAAACCCCACAAAAAATCCCTGTGGGAACCCACTGGTAGGCAACACATTTGATGTATGGGAAGCCTGATGGGGAAAAGCCTTGCACTAGGAAGGTAGGTGCAGTGAGGATTTAAGTGAAGTGACATAGAAAGGTAATGCCGTGTGAAGGTTACTTTTTGTGCTTCATTGTGTTGCTACCATTGCATTTCTATAAATTGGGTTCTGCTAGATTATTGCTGTAATTATAAAGTACTGGTTATTTCTGTTACCAAGTTAGGATTCATTCTTTAAGTTGGCTGATTGGGAATCAGGTGACATTCTTGTAGCTCTCTAAAGATCTGTATCTTCAATCATATTTCTTTCCTAAAAAAGACTGGTTATCAAATGTATGCTGCAGGGCTTTAATTTTTTTTTTAATCATTACTTTTATATCACTTCCTTTGTAAGAATATTCAACATTAGGTTTAAGAACTGTGTTTTGTTGAATTACTCATGTGAAAGTTAAATATTTTCTCTGGATACTTTTTTGCTTAGGTTTTACTTGTAATGGACACCAGAACACAGCAGACTTTTATACTGAAGGTGAGTAAAGTCTTTTATTACTCCTTGAAACAGTTTGGCCTCCGAAATTACTCCACCACACAAAGATCAGTTTGCATCTACTGTATAGAGTTATCTCTGCGATATACTGTTATGTTAATACATATATTCCTATTAAGCGCACTGGAATTCTTTTTGTTGGTATTCAGTTGCTTTCCCTTCCTTTCTCTGTAATGTCTCTAGTGCTCAGCTGTGCTGGTTTACTTGAGTTGCCACCAGTTATTGAGGCCAACACCTTAGGCTTTGGTAACGAATCACAGTTTCACTGTGCTGCTTAAAACATCTGTAAAGCCCTGGTGGCTTGGGACATGCGCAGACTGCTGATGAAGGTGAAAATTCTCCTTAGCTCAAGTACGTCCACAACACTTTGTGCTTAGTCTTCCCTTAGCTGAAGAATATGATAGTGACCAAAGTGGATTCTGGATGAAATGGACGACTGGTCTTACTCAAAATTGCTTTCCTATTTTTTACATCAATAGGCTGTGAAAACTGAGTTTAATGTTACTAAACAATTGAATTAATGAGTAGTTAATTGGTCAGAATAGAATTTTTCACATTACTCTTGTGTTTCAGAAAGTGCTCGGATCAAGATCCCAATATGCTCGAAGCATCTGTGATGCTGAGAATTAGTTTAGTACGAGTATTGTTACTGTGGCCGTTACTTCAGGCTCCCCTTGACATGAATTCCACTGCTGATGGGAGGAAGGGCTGAAAAACTGTGTCCCAAACATGGAGCTCTAATTAATTGTTAACATTTTGTAATTTCACTTCCGGTCTGTCTTACAACCCTGGCTTAAGTTTGTGCATCTGGCCTTTGAAATTGTTTGTCTTAAGTATGTGCAGGGTACAGAAAACCTGTTTGTTCCTCAGAGAGGATTATTTGTGGATATTGTATGTTAGAACCTTACTTTATCTACTGGCAGATAGGGTAACATTGAATTTCCCATTTAACTGCTTATGTTTATCAATGTTGTAATAGGTCACACTATTGACATAATTTTTTTTTTCTCTTTCTCTCCCCTCCCTTTCTCCCTTCCACATCAATTTTTTCACTTCTGGCAACTTTGTCTGTGTGCTACCTCCCAAAAATCATTACCTCTCAAGGAGACTAATCCTTTTCTTTCCTTTTTGTTGTAGTTATTGTTGTCTTTAGTAAAGTACAATGGAAATGTGAAGATTACCTGTAAGGCTAAGGCATTCTTTTGTCTTTAGAACTTGAATTGAATTTTTTTAATAGTGTCTTTTGGTCACACACAAAAATAAAATTTTAAAAAAAGGTCACAGGGAAATAACTGAGTGTCATCCTGATGACTTTAGTTTGAGAGAGATTCTAATAAAAACATTGACCCATGTAATTGATTTTAATGGCAGCTTTGTGCCATCTTCTGTTCTCTGGAAATGCGCCAGATGCCATCAGCGCAGCCTCGGGGGACCGAGGGGCATAGAGCAGCAGATGAGTGGTTTCTCTGAAGCCCAGAGTAACTCGGATAGATTAGTTTGGTTGATAAACACAGAGCACAGCAGGCTCCAAAGGCAACTGAGGGTACAACTGACCTTTTTGTTCTCTGTCAGGGTCTAAGGAAAAGTAGTGAGTACAGCAGGAGCAGAACGACCATCATCCCCCGCTGTGTGCCCAACATGGTGTGTCTGCACAAGTACATCATCTCCGAGGAGTCCGTCTTTCTCGTGCTACAGCATGCAGAAGGTTTGTCTCTCATTTAAGTATATTGTTGAAAAAAGTCAAAGGTTTAAGTTTTAATCAATGGTACGTTTCATTGTCAAATTAATCTCTTATACATCTAATTAAAATATTTTTAGCATGCTTAAGAGATGTCATGTAAGACACCCCACTCCCGTCCTCTGTCCCTCCCTCCTTTTCCCCCCTCATTCTGCAGTGGATCTGATTCCTGTTTCAAATGGCCTCAGATCCTGATGGGTTACTTGAATTGTAGCAATATTGAAAGCTTCCAGCTGTTTATTTTCTACAGGAGAGTGAGTGCTTTGACTGCAACAACTGTCTGCAGTATTTACAGTCATCTCTGAGACAAGGTCTTTGGCTACTTTTGTAGACTTTGGCTAGTAAATATTTTTAATATCTCATACTTAAAATGACAAGTAATTACACAAGAATTTAATAACTCTCTGCGAAAAAACATGAACATTTGCCTATTGGTTAATATTACGTAGTTATTCTGATCTGAATTTTTTAAGAAAATAGCTAGTGGCATCACACAGGAGTTCAAAGCAGAACCACAGAGTTGTGCCTTCAAACTATTTATAAAATTCCTGTTAAATGTACAGGGAACAGGTGGCACAAAATAATTACATTTTGATTTTTTTTGTCTAACACCTGGATTTAAATATTCCCTAACTGTAATTACCCATATTTGTTTAGAATGAGTGCAGAATATAAATGTTGGGATTGCTAATAGTTCTCTTTTTAGGAAACGTTAATAATTCAGTCAGAACAGTTGATGTGAAGGAACTAAGCTAACTGATAGAGAAGATAATTTTATTACCTTGAATATTATTTCTTTTTTTTCCTAATAACTTAGATTTTGGCTTTTTCACGAACAATTTGTCATGAGGCCAATTAAAGTTAACTTTACAACATGAATGACTTTCTGCTATGTGTGACTTAATTTTGCCATAAGCAGTGATGCATGAAGAAAAGCCTCACATTACAGTACTGCCTGATGATGATCTCGAGGGTTTACAGTGCTGCTCTGTACCATGCTACTTTTCTTG